GGACATCTGGGTGGATTCTGAGGTCTTGCCTTGGGCAAAGCACAATGGGCCGGTGAGAAGCAAACCACATCCAGGAGGGGTCAACGGTCTCCTGAGTCTCCTTAGGAGACTCCGCAGAACTCTGGCACACCTCCTGCTGGGGCAGCCAGGACGGAGCTGGGAATGCCAAACTTGCCCCGCAAGCCCTATAGCAGGGAACGCCAGCCTTCACACAGACAGCAAGGTGGGACAAGTTCTGGGCCTAAACTCTAGGCGAAATCCATCAAATCTTTTGGGAAAAGAGAAGCAGAGTAGAAATGAGGTGTGGTTTTCAGCTGTGCATTTCCACCTCCATGATCTTGGTCAGTTACCCAATCTTTTCAGCCTTTTCTGAGTCTGTAGGGGAAAGGATCCAGGACCTCTGCAGACACCCAAACCCATGGATGTGTTACAGGTTGGACATGAGGTGTTCTCCAAGAGCTCGTGTGTTGGAAAGTTAAGAGGTGAGACAACTGGGTTATGAGAACCTCGACTTAATCCAAGTGCATTAATCCACTTAAATGGATTAACTGGGTGTTCACTACAAGAAGGTAGGATGTGGCTGGAGAAGGCGGGTCTTTGGGGACATGCATGTCCTCCGCTGTTTGCCTCCTCCACACTCTTCTACTGTAATTTTTTGCCTCTCCTCTAGCCCAGAATAGTAGAGTTGGCCATCTGTGACTGACACTTCTGAAACTGTGAGACAGATTAATAACTTTCCTTCCTCTATGTTGTTCCTGTCAAGTCTTTTGGTCACCATGATGAAAAAACTGACTAAAACAGATTCTCAGAATCTCCTAAATAAAATGGAATAATGCTTACTCAGAACCTACACACATCTACCACATACTTTAACTCATCTCTAGGTTACTTGTAATACCTCATGTGGTGTAAGTGCTATATGAATCATTGTTATACTGTATCATTTAAGGAATAATGACAAGAAAAAAACTTGGCTCTATAGACACAACCATCGTAAGCCCTACCACAGCGTACCTGATCCACAGTTAAATTGACCTATAGATACAGAACCTATGGATACAGGGGCTGACTGTATTCATTGGCCCAAGAAGAAACTCACCACAGTTGGTAGATTTTTCTCAGCCTGGGGTGAGCAGGTACACAAGGAGATGAGGACCATGAAGAAAAAGATTAAAATAAACATAAAACTGACCTCTGAGGAGACAGAAATAATTCATAGACTAAAGCAAACACAACATCAATTAATATTTCACTATGCAGTGTATTTGGAGCCATAAAGCAAAAATAGATTCTAGGAAAAGAAGTGATCAGGGAACAAGACAAAGCTCTCAGAAGTTAAAAATATCAATGCCAACACTGTGCTCAAAAGAAAAAAAAAGAGAGCGACTGAAAATGAAGTCAGTAAAATATAGAATGAAGAGTTCAAAGGTAAGAAAAAGAGAAAAATGTACATAGGCACATAGAGATTTAACCTGGAAGGTTTAGGTTCAGAAACGGAGAATGGGAGGGGGGGCAGTTAAGAAAAATCAAATGTGTTAAGATCTCCCAGAGCAAAAGACAGTTTTTCAGAGTAAGGGATCCACTGTGCACCCAGGAAAATGAAGGAATAAAGACCCACCCTGAAGATTATTCTCAGGCAGCATAAGAATGTGAAGGATGGAGAGGGATCCCTAAGATCTTCTAGGAAAGAAAAAGGAAAGTAGGTAATCTGCAAAGACAAGAATCAGAGCTCTCCCCAGCAATGAGGACAGCCTGAGTTTTCACAATTCCGGAAATAAAATAGACTCATTCAGAGGTTTCCTGGTCCACACACCTTTCCCTAGGGAGTCAGTGGGGCAGTGAGATCCACCCACCCCCAGGGAGCAAGGAAAGGGAATGCAAGGGGAGCCCTGGGCAGGAGGCTGGGGGGAGGCGGAGGCCTGGTGGAGGGAGAGAGCGCCTCCTAGAGGGGAGGAGGTCCCAGGGCTCTGTAGGACGGGGAAAGGAAAAGGCAGGTGCCACCAGAAGAAAGGCAACTGGATGTCCCAGGGGAGAGCCCTGCACAAGAAAGTCACCATCCGACGCCGAGGCCAACTAAAATAGGGCATGATACTAAGGCACTGAGTGGGAGCAGAGAGAAGGTCCCAGGCCTCTCTGCTCTGAGCCCTCCAGGGGTTCTGATGCTGATCTCCAAGAAGGACCTGTCACCCAGCCTGTGGCTTAAGCCAGCACCAGATGCTTCTGTTACAGCAGTGACATCGTCAATGTCCCCTGCCATTTTCAAGTTCCAGGGTCCAGCTGTGGACAGCACCTACTGCAGAGAATTCAGGAGCAGATGGAAATGGTGATGACCTCTGCGTGACGTCAACCCCGAGGCAGTAGGGCAGTGACTCCGAAGCTGAGAAGAAAGGCAGGAAGGACAACAGGGCAGTGACAACCTCCTCTCACCACCGGGGGAGCCAGAAGTCCTGGTGGAGAAAGGCTCGCACTTCAAGATGTCACTGACAGAAGCACTTCATAAACACAGAGAAGAGCGGGGGAGGGGAGAGGGCAGGGTGGGGCCAAAAGGGATCTGTCCACTGTGTGGATGTGATTGCTGGAACGTGCAGAATGAAGACACGGTCATGGTGAGGATTAAATGAACTAATATAAAGAATATCTCCAGGAATTGCCAGGAATAAAGCAAGCATCTCACATCTATCAGGGATTTTATCATATGCTTGCCAGTCCAATTTGATTTGTTATAAACGTATGTATTAATTAAGACGGAATCTTAAATATTAAGTAAATAAAACACCCAGCAGAGCTATTTGAAGGAATGAATGCAGTGGTGTATGTGTGCTTGCAGTCCCAGCTACTTGGGAGGTTGAGGCAGGAGGATCATTTGAGCCCAGGAATTGGAGGCCAGCCTGAGCAACATAATGAGACCTTGTCTCAGAATAAATAGATAAATGAATAAATAAATTGCATCAAGGAATAACCTATAAGGTACTATTTTAGTGATGGCTAAACAGGGCAGGGGAGCTTGCTCTGGGAACTGAGTGGCCTGTATAATGTGGAAGGAGGGCTGAGGAGAGGAAGGTTCCCAGAGAGAGGCCTAGAAAGAGATCCTGCCCTTGGCACTGTTTGTAAACTGTAACGGGCTCCACATGTCAGCCTGTGATATCTACTATGTCAACACTGCAAAGTGTTATTTTTTGCAAATAGAAAATAAGTGCATGCACATATGGGGAGCCTGGGCACTATCCTCAACCCACCTGCAAGCAGAGTCTAAGTTGCTGCTCTACAGAGAGACAGCAAAGGTGGCAGAGGTTTTCTACTTCTGTTTGGGGGAATGGCCTCTAGGGTTTGGGAGGGTGTGGTGCGATCCCTGGCCTGGCCCTGGCCCTTTCACAGGAGCCCCACTTACATTCGGAGGCAAACAGGACAGAAGGTACCTCGTCCTATCCCCAGAGGTAGGCTGCAAAGATTCCTGCTGCGACAGACCAGGCCTCCTTGGGCACAGGGGGTGCTTGCACACATCCCTCCCTTAGCTGGGCCAGCTCAATCTCTGTTTCTGGAATCCTGCCTCAGTTTCCCCAAGAAGCCTGAACCCTGAGTCCTGACGTGCTGCCTGGCTCACTCTGGGACCCTTCTGCTGGAAGACCAGCCTCTTTCTAATGCTGCTGCTGCTGCTTCAGAATTCCCATTTTGGCTTGGGAGGCAGAAGCTGGTGTTGCAGGTAGGGACAGCAGGTGTGCAGCCACATAGGAGAGTGACCGCTGACACTGCCACTCACTGGCAGTGTGACCTCAGGAACGTTTCTCAACTTCCCTGAGCTTGGGCTTTCTCAGTGATTCACTGATTTATTTGACAAATATTTTAGCGAGTGCCAGAGGGCTAGGTACCTGCTAGGTGCTGGGAATTCAACAGGTGTGTAAGGCCCACAAGGAACTTAGCAAGGGACTTTGAGGTGAACACTCTGATGGACGGGCACTGTGTGCTACAGAGGCCCAGAAGTGCAGGAGCAATGGCTGCACCGAGAGAACCTGAGGTCAGAGAGAAGGTTGGAAGGAGGAGCGGAAGCAGGAGACTGTTCCAGGGATTTTTCTCCTGTTGCTCGAAGGAAGGAGAAATTGACCTGAAAGAAATTCTGAAGGTCTGGCGCTCAGGGTGCTAGCAGTGAGAGAAGGTGCCAGAAAACCATGCCAGGAAGATCAGAGGCCCTGAGGCTCCCCATGGCATCATGGGAGGCCTCTAGAGCAAGGACCAATTCCCATTTAGTAGGAAGGTTGTGAAGTGTAGTGAACTCTGATGCCCGAGGGAGCTGACCCCTGGGACCTGGAATTATTACGTGCCACCTTGGAAGGCACAGACAACCTGACCATCCGGGTGCCTGCGTGTTGGCTTGCCCTGTTCTACAGCTCTCCATCTCCTGACACTCGCACCCACGCATGTATGTGCGCCAGGCGTGCTTTACTTAATGTGCTGTGAGGACACTGAGCTAAGATGAGGTCCCAACACCAAATCAATCCTGCATGCAAACATGTGTGTCTTGGCCCGATCTGGCCTCCACTCTGCACTGGCCTCTGATCTGGCCTCCAACCTTCCCACTGGCCTGGGCTAAGCCCAGCAGGCCTCCCTCATGCTCTCCTCCCAGGCTCAGACACAAACCTGTTCCTGCTGCCTGGACTGTCCCTCTTCACATGGCTCATTGCTACTCCTCCTCCAAGAGCAGCTCAGCTGGCCCCTCCCAGGACACCTTTCTCCGGGTGCTGTGCTTCCTAACTTACTTCTCACATGGCATCTGTCACCCATCTCCAGATTCTGGCTGTCAGGCCTGTTCCTGCCTGGGCCCTATGGGTGCCCCTGGCTGCAATTCAGAGCCAGAGAGCAGAGGTGCTCTGCAGACACATGCAGCAGGGTGAACCCCAGTCAATGGCACTGCTCCAGTGCATGTGCTGGCAAACGCTGCTGTGACCGAGGACCCTACAGTCACTGCATGTCACCCTTCCCCTTCCCGTAACTACAGCTATCGATACCTCCCTAGGACGCCACCACATCCCCTCTGACGTTGCTGTGCGGCTGGCAGGCACCTCGTTACAATCTCCGAAGCTCTGCAATGTACGAAGGGAAGCAGGACTTGCAGGGAGGCTTGCTCTCTCAGGCACGGCCTTGCGGACTTTCTGCTTTACGTCGAAACCCAACAATCTACAGACCCAGGGCTCTTCACCGGCAGAAGGGCACTGGCCTGGTTCCAAATCTCCTTTCTCAGTCAACTGGGAGCAAGAAAAAAAATGTTCCCATGAGCATGATGGTTGCCAGGGGCCCCTGCACACGCTGCTGCACACAGGCTCTGAAGCCCTGATTGTCAGGGACAAACCTCTCCCTGGTGGCCCTTTTCCTGTTATGGCGCCGGGGAGGGGGACCAACAGGGCATGACTCCAACATGGGCTCCAACAGGGCATGACTTCATCTAATTTGTAGAACTCATTTAGGGTCCCCAAGCCCTTGCACAGATGTGGCACATAGTGTGTGTTCAGTGAGAGCTCATTAACACACCTGCGCTGGCTCTTCTCAAGGAGAGGAATTTATGACAAAATGGCATTTTTCACCCAAAGGAAACCTACACCGAGAAGATGCATTCTTGCAAACACTGTCAACACCCCTCTGGACCTGAAGAGCATACCTGGCCCAGGGCCAACCCAGCTCACACCATCTCATCAGCAGCCGCCGCCTCTCTTCCCTCTCTTGGGAATCTGCTGACTTCCCTGAGCACAAGCGAACGCTGTCCATCAAAGCAGAGCAAAACCAGCATGCCACTTGCACTCGCCAGCAGCCAGGTGTCCCTGGGTGCCTGGCACTCACTGGAACCACTACCTACTCATCTCCACGGGGTCATTTGCAAATGGTGAAACAGACTCAATAGAGAAGGACAAGTGCCCACACAAGGCAGCCACACCCTGGAGCTGGGGGGGAACCTAACCCTGGATGCAGCATCCATGGGGAGCTTTCAAAGAAACTGGTGCCCAGACTCCACCCCAGACCTGCCGCAGCATAACACAGTGAGGGGCCCAGACACCAGCATTTAAAACTGTCTCCAGGAGGACCATGCAGCTCTGCTGAGAACTCCCAGTGCTTAAGCAAGCTGTCCTGGGCACCAGGGCTCCTCTGTTATTGTAACCTGAGCACCTGCTATACCCCCGGCCCTCTGCTGCCTGCTGGGTAAAGCCTGTGGTCTTTCAGGAGCAGCCAAAGCCCTCGGGGGTCATCAGGCAGCTTTGGGGATCAAAGTCACACACAGGAAGTGAGGACAGATTCAAGCCCTCAGAACTGAGAAGAGTTAGGGGTCATGCTGCCCCGGATCCACTTTGCAGAAAACTTTTCCTTAAGAGCCGTGGAGTCAATATTTTTTGGCCAGGTTGCTCCAGGCTCCTGTGTCCTAAAACCTTGGATTCCTGTCCTCCACATGCAGGTGACCCAGGCTGCCTCTCATACTACCCATGGGACGGTTCCTTTCCCCTTTCACACCACCCTCTTAGGTTTCCTCTAGTCCTCAGCATAAAACCATCACCAGATTCCAGAGGGCCCCTGTTCCCTCTCTCTGGTGTTGAGCGAGAAACCTCCCCACCAAGTGGCCACTATCACCTCGGCCTGGAGGGAAGGGGAACACAATGCCCCTTCAGGCACGCATTGGCAAGGGCAAGAAGTTTCCTTCGGGAACACCTCCTTGTCCAGGCCTACCACCTGTTCCTGTGAGCAGCTCCCATGGGGGCCACGGAGCACCATCCTGCAGCAGACAGAGGGAGGTGCCATCTTGGACTCTGCTCCTCGGCCAAGCACCCCCCAGGTTCCAGTGCAGGCAGGTGGCATTTATCAGGGCCCTGTTTTAATAGGCGTCATCTCATTGAATGCCACAGCAGCCCTGCATGGTGCTCAGAGAGCAAAAAGACTCATCCAAGGGACGCTCACCGAGTCCCCTGGCTGCAGACACATGAAAACTCCCATATGCCTCCCACTGGGCTGGAGGGAAACAGACTCAGCCAGACAGCCCTGCACCAGCAACGCTTGGCTCCTGGTGGGGAAGAAGCCGATCACTGTCCACCTGAGCTCCGGATGCTTCCCCAGACACAGCGGCCCCTTGGCCACCTGAGGTCCAAGCCATACCTTGACTTGATAACACACCAAGTGCAGCCAGAGGCCCCAAGGAAGGGGACATATGCAGGCGGGGGTGGCCCTGCTTCTCAGTACACACAGAGTCCAAGCTGCCACCCACTCACTGTGCCCAGGCTTTGGCAGCATCCCAAGCAGATGCCAAAGCAGCACAACCTGTTCCCATGGGCTCCAAGCCGGCAGCACAGACTCACGCCCATGCTGGCAGAGGACGGGGGAGGGTGGGGGGACACAGGGCTGAATTAAGTGACCTGAGCAGGGGACAGTGAAGACTCTGTGGTGGGACAGCATGGACTACTCAGAGAACCTTCTGGCTGAGGGCCCACTAGGGCCCCCCAGCAGTCTCTCCAAGTAACAAGTTGAACAGGGTCTCCCCAAAAGATGTTCAAGTCCTAGTGACTGGCACCTGTGACCCCACATGGAAACAGCACCTTTGCAGATGTAATCAAGTTACAATGAGCTCATCTGGACTAGGGTGGGCCCTACATCCAATGATGGTGCCTTCATAGGGAGAGCTGGACGTAGGACGGCACGTGTGACGATCGGGGCTGGGGCCGGGATGATGCATGCACAAGCCAAGGGCCACCAAGGACAGGGGCCACTGCCATGAACCAGGAAAAGGCTACGGAGGCTCCTCCCCTGGAACCTGCAGTGAGCGTGACCCCACCCACACGGTGGGTTTGGACTTCTGCCCTTCACACTGTTAGGCAGTAGGTTTCTGTTCTTCAAGCCACCTAGGCTATGGTAGTATTAGAGCGACGGTAGGAAACTCAACCCAGCTAGGACACACACGGAGCCAAGCCCAGAAAACTCTCCCACCTGCAGGCACACTAAGGGCACCACAAGAGGGACACGTGATGGTGACTGGCTGCAGAAAGCACGGGTGCAGATTCCTGCTCCATCCCGAGGAGCTGTGACCCTGGGCAAGCGCCCCCCCACAGTCTGAGCCTTTTCCCTCATTGGTCACACTGGGCCACTCAGTCCCGCTCACACGCCTCACAGAGTTGTTAAATCCCACTGCGCGGTGAGAGGGCTTCACAAACAACATTCATGATTCCCACAGAGAGAAGGCAGAAGTTATTCTATAAGCCAGTGGTTTTCACCAGGGAGAGAATCAACACTCAGTGTCAAGGTCCTTCTCATAACCGCCCCAGCCTGTGTCTTTGGACTCAGAAGTGAGTAATGCACAGGGCTCCATTCCAGACCCCCTGGGGGCCAGGCAGGGAGGGACTTTGGCTGCAGCTGGGGGGACATGTCTTCTGAAGTCAGTCAGTTCAAGTCGAACCCTTTGCTCTACTTAAAGTGTTGGCCGGCACAGATTTCTAATTTGCAAATGTTACTCACTGTTCACATCGCCAAAGGGCCATCTTTCTGAATCATAGGCTAGCTTCATGTCACTTCCCTGTACCCCAACCTCAGCTGGCTGCGGACACAGGTCAGCCCTTCTTGTCCACCTTCTGCCATTACTGCTGAGTGACCTCCAGGCCTCCTACGTCGTGGGTCCCCTCTGTGAGCCACAGACCATTTTCACGTGCGTGACCAAAGTCTTAGTAATCAAATGAGAAATTCAGGATGGTGCACTTTAATTAATCAGCTTTAATTAACGAATTAATTTAAAATAATCACTTTAAACAAATTCCAATATTAAGATCTTCCCATTTAAAAAAAAAAAGTTAGTTACCATATGAGGGTGAGACCGAGGGAAGATTAAAACTGGAGAATCTTGGGCCAGTTTCTCCATTAAACAAACATCCTCATCTGGGTGTGTCCACGGGCTGGCCACAGCCACCTTGTAGGTCATGAAACAGGCCCCAAGGTCAAGAGGTGGGGAGGGGCCATTATTTGGCCAAGTGCTCAGAAGATCAACAAGAGAGTCAAAGTGGGGGTGTGGGTAGAAAGAGAGGTGGGGCAGGTCCCCCACGGCAGGACCTCGGGCTCCAGGGGAAAGTGTCCTGGTCTTCCTCTGGTGACTGTCCTATGCAGACACAGTACTCCTTGCTTTGGTTTCCAAGAAATGCCAATTCCTTATCACACCCCCCTTTGTCTATAATTATTTGTTTATTTTTTTGGGGGGATGGTCTTTCTGAACCTCTAAGTTCTATGAGGACAGACACCAGGTGGCCCTTGTGAAACCCAAACCCTGGGCTTGGCTGCTCGATGAAAGTCCTTCCAGCTGGACGAGTGGCTGGGGAGGCCTGGTTCTTGCCCCAAGGTGGGGCACCTCTGGACGCCATCCCTACTAGTCTCCAGCTTTCAGGGACTGGGAGAGAGGGCTCTCTGCAGCTCTGCCTGCCCAGACAAGGCAGGAGACAGGCGGGGGTGTGGCTCTGTGAGCTGACAGTGAAGTTGTCCCTTCTCACCAGGCAGATCCATTCCCAGTGGAGGGAGGACAGGAGAGGGGGCTCAGTCACAGGAGCCGTCCTGGGGCTCACTCCGTGTACAGAGAAGCTCCTGGGGGTTGAGGGTCTGGAAGAGAAGCCTGGCCTGCAGCAGGGCGCAGGGGAGAGGAGTGAGTGCAGGGCGGGGAAAGGGAGAGGGCCTGCAGGTGGTGGTGGGGGGCAGGCCTGGCTCCTCGGTCAGATGCCGCAAGCACAGGCCCAGAGCCCACGAAAATGCTTCAGTTTCTTCTAAAATTAAAAATAATAATAATAATAATGAAGTCTGGGATGGAAACAAAAAGTAACATATCGCATTCCTACACTCATCTTAATCACTTCACATGTCACAGGACACAATTTTCCATTTTTTTTTTCTTAATGGAGGAAGGTGCCCATGGAGGCAAACGTCGTTAGAAGCCAAAAAAAGGCCAACGTGGCTGTAGGAGGAGGGGAGGAGGGTGAGGCCTGGTCTGCACTGGTGGCTGGCACCCAGGCCTCTCCAGAGCCGAGCAGCAGCACTGCACCTCACCCGGTTCTGCTTCCTTCCCTGGGGAACAGAACCACCAGAGGGCCAGGAGTGCAGATGTCCAGAGCTCTGCTTCCTCAGCTGGCCTGTGCACAGTCCTCTCGGGTAGCTTAAAACAGGCTGCAAATTCCACGCTCCTCCCATCAGAAGGTTTGGTTGGAGTCTAACTGTCCCTGCCTCCCTATATGGGCTGGCCTTTGTCACTTGTTTCTAACCATGTGCCAGAGGTGGCACAGCAGGACGGCAAGGCTCCATCATAAAAGGTGGTGCAGACAGATCCCCAGGGCTAGGTCCTGGGACATGTGCAATGGAGCCCTGAGCCACGCGTGGGGCGGGAAGTGCAGCTGTCCTGCCTGCCTCCATGCTGAGAGACCACGCGGAGAGTCCACGCAGAGTGATGGTGAGGTCTCAGCTGCGTTGCTTCTCATCCGGCCTCCAGGCTCTGTGCCTCCTCCCAGCCCCCGCGGCCAAACATGTGAGTGAGGCAGTCTTCCAGATGGTTCCAGCCCCAGCCCCAGCCTGGCTGTGACCTCATGTGAGGCTCTCGGAAAGGACCACCTTCCTGAGCAAAATGCACCAATACTAGTGTTTGAAGCCACTATTCGGAGGCACTTTTGTATGCAGCAATAAATACTCTTTAAGCTTTAGTTTCTTCATCTGTGAAACAGGAATAATAACAAAAGTAACTATTTTATGGAGCTGTCGTAAAGATTCACCGAACTAGTGAATGGAAGGCTCTCTGTTTCCGTAGGGTCTCCACCCACAGTACGTACCCAGGGAATAAAAGCTGCGATTATCACTAATTACTATTATCATGCCCATTTTTCAGAAGACAGAACAGGGCTCAGAAAGCCTAAAGCAGAATGTTTCAAGAACCAAAGAGCAAGTGAGAGCATGAACTTGGACTTAAATCCAGATTAGTCCAAGTCTCCAGTCTGACTCTGAGAACGACCTCAAACAGCAGGTGCACACCCTGCACGCGGCCAGGACAGCAGGCAGAATCTTGAAGACGCGCGGCGACTCCAACAGTGGGATGGAGGCACAGAGTACCTGGCAGCCAAGTGCAGAATGGGGGAGGGGCTTGGTCCCCTCCCAGAAAAAAGAGAAGCAGCTGAGGTCAGAGGCTCACAATGTCTTAATAAAACCTGCCCCAAATATCTGCCTGCACGGTACCCAGGCACTTTCCAAACTGATTTATCACCCCTCATCCTGGTGGGTGCCCATCCCACAAGGCTAGTTTTTACAGCTATGGTCTCAAAGTAACAGTCCATAAGGTGGAAAACTATGAAATTTGTCAGCAGCTAAATTACTTCACTCCAAAACTGTAATAATTAATGATCCTCCCAAGATCACTGACCTAATCCACAGGCTGACAAAGTTTGGGGCTAAAATAATAATTTTGCAAAAATTTCCTTCATGTTCCACAGGGATGTGACGGGCGCGTTACGAGCAGCAACTGCTCTTACAGATGTGCCCAATAAAGTCCTACAGGCTTTAGGGTTTGAAATGTTTGAAGCCAGCAGAACCGTCATCATGGCTTTCAGGAGAGGCTACTTGAGGAGGTGGGAAGCAGCTGGAGAGCCAGGTCCCGGAATCCCCCAGCCGGTCACTAACAGCAGAGGGCACTGATGGTGATGTTGAGAGATGATCTGGGCCAGCCGCAGAGTACGCAGAGCCCCCAGGTGACAGGCTTTCCAGAATCAAATGACGCAGCCCAGCCCCGCCAGGGCTCCACGCGGACAGCACTGCCTTCTCTTCCCAGGCACGCGCAGATCCTGGTGACCAGCGGCTCTGCCCCGCTACTTCATTCTTTCCCCCGCTTACATTAAACAACCCCCGGAGCTTCAGAAACCGAGGAGCAAACCCAGGGCCAGGGAGCTCGGGGTCATGCCCAGGCCTGGCTCTGGGCCTGGCTTCCAGGAGGAAGGGCAAAGGAACAAGGAGAAAGCCATGTCCTCCGTGCCCATGGGAACAGGGCAGCGTGAGTACAGACTGTCCATCTCTAGGTGGCCTTGTGCCAGCACTGGGCCCTGGCCAGCCTCGGAGATCATGACCAGCTTCAGAATGATGGGATGCCCCCTCAGCCACGGCTCCCCTGTGCGACCTTGGGCCCGTTGCTTCCTGCCTCGAGGCCTCGGTTTGTTGACCTGTAAATGGGACAGATGGGTGGCTGCCGCTCCGCGCCCATCCCAGGCCCACATCCAGGGCGGGAGCTCCGCGGAGGGAGGCAGCTCTTCATAAGCGGGCAAACTGCCTGGGGTGCTCTGCCCTTGGCACGGTGTGGCCATCGCCTGTCATCGCCAGGGCCACACGGTCCAGAAAAGAGTTTGCGGAAAAGGCCTTTTCCCTCTTCCCCTTAGAGATGAGAAGGTGAAGGAGGAAGACAGACGGCCCGGGATCCCAGGGACATGCTTCCTCCTGTCCCTTCTGTCCAGCCAGCGCTGCAGAAGTCACCTGACCCATCAGGCATGTTGATTTCAAAGTCAATGATCACACAGTGGTGGCCACTTCGGGTTCCGACACCGACCCTCTTTTCCTGCCCATTAAGGCCGCCCTGGGGGAAGCTGGCCGGCAAGCACGTGCCCTGGGCTCTCGGCTGTGGATGTAGGTCTGGGAACACTGTTTTTAGGCCAGGAGCAGCGTGATGGCGCCTGCAGAAGCACAGGGAGACCCACGGCTCGGTGAATCAGGTTGGGACACTGCCCGCTCCATTTCCTGTTGGCCAGAGTCCACGAGGGCTGTGCCGGAGCCAGCAGCTACCTCGCTTTCCCTCCCAGCCCCACAAGGTCGGCGGAGCGGGTCTGGGGAGCAAGGCGGGAGGATCTGGCGGTGCTGAGACTCTCAGTACATACAGCAGAGGCAGTGCAATCAGAGAATCGGTGCCTGGAGGTCACAGCTGGACAACCCTGTTCATTCCTGCACAGAAACTGAACATTTTACACATCTTCACTATTCCACAGGGGGGATCAGGAAAAAAGGCCACCTGCAATTGTCTCAAAACTCAAACCCTCACTCTACCACCTCCCCAGCTCCCAGTCACTCATGACAGAGCACACCCCTTATCCTGGAGTTCAGCACCCACTCCCATCTAAGCAGCACTGGCCAGTCTCGTCTCTGCCTGGGTAGCCTCAGCCCACTGGTGCAGCCCCTCGGTGCCACTTGTCCTCTGTCCCCAGTAGTCAAGCCTCTGCATTTCTGTGGTGCCTTTCCCCTTCGCCTTGCTTGACAGACTTCAACTCGTCTCACGAGGCTCAGGCTTGGTGCCCCATCCCTCCCATTCAAACCCGTCCACCACCCAGCCCTCCTAGGGGTGCCTGTCACTCTAACTAGTCACAGGCTGATACACAACAGGCTTCCCAGTCTCTGGGTCTGACAAAGAGAGGGACCTTCTCATCTGCCTTCATCTCCCACACTGCCCTGCCTCAGGGCCTCTCAGTATGGGGGCGGTCAACATGGTCACCACGGGTATCACAAAGAAGGTGGATGCTAAGAGGAAAAAGCTTCCCTGAGAGAGAGTCGGGGGAGCACCTGCAATGGGGGGGTGGTGCCGGAGGGTTTGAAGTGTTCTGGTCTTTTCCAGGTTGTGATACTGCTAGGTAGCCTGGCCTCTTGGGAACCAAATACTAGCTCCAGGTGCTGACCATGCAGCCCACCTCAAAGACCCTGTGTCTTCCCAGTTACGAGCTCAGCTCATCTGGCCACCTCCAGGACCGACACCAAGCAGTTGACATTTCTGAGTGCAGTTTGCCTAAGAAACACTAAGGTAACTTGGGGCACTAACTCAGGCCCCAGGAGGGCAGCTGCTGACACACAGGCCAGGACACCTCTTCCTTGGTAGAAAATAAAAAGACCTGGGGTACTTTGCAGACCTCTCTGTCCCATCTGTGCAAAACCAAGAGCAAGAGGCAGATGTAAAACCTTGCAGACGAGTGTGGAGGGACCCAGGAGGGCCCCTGGATGTAACAGGTGACCTGTGAATGTGTGGGAGGAAGAGGAGGAGGAGGGCAAGGCCACTGCGGTCACAGCAGCTGAAGAGGGGTTCAATCTGTTTCTAAAACTCCCCCCGAAAGAGGTTTCTAGAGCCACACTGATGATCCGGTCCAAGGATGACTCACTTCTGTATCCGCTGCCTGGAATTAAACAGGGGCTGGGAAGCCCTTCCCTGGGACGGTGGGCCTGAGCTGACGGCTGCCCCGCAGTCCAAGAGAATCAGATTCTATGGGGTTCAAAGCTGTGGGACAGAGAACAGCAGCTACTTAAGGTCCAGCCCCAGGCCCCAGGGCTCTGAGCGAACGCCGGGCAGCTGGATGGCTTGAGACGTGGCACAGTGTGAAGGGAGAAGCCGGGGCAGGGGGCAGGGAGGAGATGAGACCAAGGACCACATCAGGTAGGGCCTGAGGGTCCCTGGCTACTCTCAGGGACATGGGGAGCACTGGAGACCTCCAAGCGGAGGACAGAGGCCATCCTGTAGGAGGCCCGCTCCAGGTGCTGACGGAAAGCAGCAGGCAGGAGGAAGAGGGGTGGTGCCTGGTGAAGGGCGGATCCCCAGCTTGGGGGTGGGGTGTCCCACAAGGAGTGTTTTGGCGTAGGACTGGGCATTAGCGATCCACAAATAATTCCTGAAATTCATCGTGCCTGACAGGAGGACGCAGTGGGGACGTGTTAAAAATAGATCCCAGGCCCCCGCCCTTGGAGGTTCTGACTCAACAGGTTGGCAGCAAAGACCAGGAATGGCATTTTAATAAGTCCACATGGAGCTTCCGCAGAGACAGTCCCTGGATCACACTTGGAATAAAACCCTGCAGTGACCCCATCCTGGCCCGGTCAGCCATGGAAACCAGCCGAGGGCCACAGTGGCCGGGTGGCTGTCCACAGGCATCAGGTGAGGTGAGCAGAAGGCAGGGCTAGGAGCCACCACCTGACCACCAGGCTGCCTCCAGGGCCCTCTCCAGCAGCCAAGTCCTCTAGATTCTGAGTGAACCCCATTAAAAGGGCAGGGGTGAGGTCCAGGCCTGGAGGGAGAGCGGTAGTGCATGAGTTCCTGGTGCTGTCTGTGTCCACCACAGGAGCCTCCGTGCCCAGCAGCACCTAGGCCAGAGCTGGGGCTCAGTTAGCTCTCGCTAAACTATGAACAGCTGACATCTGCTGGATTAATGAGGGGTGGTCCCAGTAATCAGGACCAGAAAGAGGCAGGCCCATGAGGAGGAGATGGCACCAGGCCTGCACAGACAGTGCAGCCCATGGAGGCACCTGGGGATGTCCTCAAGCGGGCCCGAGGACAACCAGCCCCGGAGGGTAGGAGCCACCTCCACTGGGGATTTTCAGGCAGAGCCAACGTTGATCTTGTTGGCAAAAGCGATGAGGGAACAGCCTCCACTGCTCCTTTAAGGGGCAGGTGGATTTTTCCACTCCTGCTTTTCCTGTGGAGAACACAGGATGCTGGCTTTCATTTCCACCTTCAGATTTTAGCACCGTAAAGCGGGGCTTACTCTTTTTTTTGAAGGATTCCATAAAGCTCTCTCAGCAAGAGAACCATGTACATTCATGAATCCCTTTCAGCTCCCCCATGCTGCTCTCTGGGTGTATTCATTGTTAGAGTATCTCAGGCCGTCAATATTGATCAGTGAAAGAAGATGACTGTCATTGTCACCCATTTTCTGAATTAAAAGGAGTCAAGAATCCCAGGGGCGGGGGCACGCAGGCCACCTGAGCCTGAACACTGTCTCAGTGGCAGGGGAAGCATCGTGCTGGCCGGACCCCCAGGTTATATTAGCAGATACAGGCTGAGAGCCCCGGGATGATGGGAAAATGCCCTGGGCGGTCCCTACTTGCTCTTTAGCTTCATGATGCTAAATGAGGCGCACACAGCAGCTCATCACAGATTATTAAGAAACAGCATCAGCTGGGAACACATCAACCCTCGAAAACACCACCACCTGACCCTTTGGTCAGGGCCCCACATCGCTTGTCCACTGAGGCGTGGAACAAATACTAAGCCACACCTCAGTCCACTGGGAGGGGCCTGCCAAGGGGCAGGCTTTTAACCACCTAAGGCTACACTTGTCTTAATTCACACACGAAGAGAACGGAAAACATCAAAATCGGTTCAGTTGAATGTATTCTGTGATTCTTGAGGCTAGAAATGGCTGTGAAGTCATTCTCCTTTACTACATTCCCAACAGCTATTCAAGGTAACCACAAATCAGAGGCCGTGGACCTGGCCGCCTCCTCATCTCACCCTCTCTGATGCCCCTGCGTAGCTCCTTTCTACATTTTTAATAACCATAAGTATTAGAAATCGGCCCGATGCTGAAGCCATCGGGAGCCTGCTCTCTCCAAGTTTGGGAGCCAAAGATTGAGACTTTACAGGTGTCTCCGAGGACAGCCAGTATTACTCCTCTAACCACATCAAAAAATTGCACTGGCTGCTCTGATGATGTTGGTATTTTACAGATCACAATGGAGTTTTCCAACTCATTCTGTCTGCCTCTTCTCATGAATCACCTATCAGGAAACCTCAGGTTCATGGCACAGGAGTATTTCAGGAATTCAACGTGGGTGGAAGGGCTCTGTTAGTTAAGACCTCCCCATCAGGACGCGGACTAGGTCAGCAACGGAGCTGGCGGTATTTTCAATTGCTGGCGAAAATAACCCATTTGTGTGTCAGTGGTGGAATGTCAGTCATTGTTAGAACGTCCAGCTGGGTGAGAGGGCTAAAGTGTATCTGGTGACCTCCCTTTACTCTCTATAAATTGTACTTTGCAAATGGGACCCAGGAGTCTCTGGTCCTGGATGTGGCTGATACTCGGGCAGCTCTGAAGACTCATCAGTAAGGAACTTCTGAAAGCCACCCTCAACACTTGGGCCAGCATCTCTGCCTGGTAGCTTGCAAAGTCCTTGACACCCACATCTCCTCCTAAATCCTGGGAATTCCTAAGCACTTGTGTGAACCTTTCACACCTTAGAAGTGTCCCTTCCAGCTTCTTCTCTGGTGTGTTTTTCCAGAGAATTCACCCAATGGCATCCTGGAGAGGACAACCGGCCTCTGAAGGCTGTTACGTAACTTTCATTCTGTGTTCCTGCTTAGGAGATGCAGGCGACCAGCGCCTTCCAAAGCAACCCAGGTGTCATTCTGAGATCTCTTTCCACCAAACCCCGGGACCATGTAGAAGCTAAAGGAGTTATTTTAGCTTCCCCCAAAGAACTGCCAACACCAACCCTTTTAAGGTTATATTTGGCTTACTGAATCTCTTTGGGGATGAATATATTTGACACCCTGTAGTTAACTGTCCTAAAAAAAAAAGTCCATTTAATTTAGAAATCTATCAATAATCAAGTCACCCCCATTTTCCTGACAACAAATCTGCATGCTTTTGTCAGTGCCAGGCATTATTTAGCAATTCAGGACTAAGGACACAATTTGGTTACAGGACACACTGCAGTAATGCGGAAACGAGGTGTAATACCGGGCGACTTAAACGCTAGCAGTGTATTTAAAATGTTGCTGGGCTCTGAGTTTGCTGATCCTGAGAGTTCTGAGCCCAGCTTCCTCATCTGGTGCACGAGGACAACAATGTCTGCTCTGCAAAGTTGTAAGACAAAGTGTGGCTCTTTCTCTCACCCTCTCTATCTGAAAATGACTTCACCAGGAGGCCTGGCCCCAGGCAATGGCTATGCAGGTGTCCCAAGGAAGCTGGCAAGCACCCTGCTGCCGATCCACGCACGGCTCACCATTTTCAGCTTCAGCTAAGTTCAAGGCTCTAATTAAAGTATTTTTCATTTTCAAAACAAATGCAAACAGCAATTACGTACTTCCCCTCCTTTCCTTCCAGGAAGAGGCTGAGACTGAGTTGAAATCCCTGAGTCCCTTGGACTGCGAGGCTTTACAGATAGAACGACATATACTTCCTACCCCATTGACCCACATTACATAATGGTTTCTGTGTCTCCTGCCACATGGATTCCAGAGAGGGTCAGGGCTCTCAGGCGTGTGGCAAGACTCCACCATGTAAGGAAACCCTGACGGGGAAACTGGCATAGTCACCTTCAGGATCAAAGTTCCATCACCACACATTTAGAGTACTGAGTCTCTACTTAGGGTAAAACAATGCACCTTTGATAACGACCAGTTCCTCATTGTTCATGTGGATGTCTAATTGAAAATGTTACATAACCTTAATGTACAAAGCATTCTGGAGCTTTTAATAACGAGCTGCATCCAAATTGTGAGGATTCTTCAAGCTTAGAGTTAGAGGAGGTCTGGTACACACACACACACACACACACACACACACACACACACACCCATTGCATATATGTAAACCGAGATCCAGAGAAAGAACAATCTACCCAAGACCACAAAGCAAAGCAGCAAGAGAGTCAGGACTCAGTTCCAGGTTTCCTGATCCCTGGAGGCTGTTCCTTTCCTCTGTGGCTTCATGTGTCCACGTGTGTAAGAACACACAGGCTGCAGCACTTGAACTGGGACCTCACAGCTTTGATTGAGCAGGACAGCCAGGAACAAGAGAGCTCATGGTCCAAGCTTCTGAGTTAGAAATGGCAAGCAAATGCCTTGTCATTGAGATTTATTTGAGACACACACCATCCTGCACTCCCCCAAGACATCTGGGCACTTCTACCACATTCCACATGCAGTCACTCTGGGTATGGTAATGGAAGATCCTGGCTTTCAAGACCTTCCCCAAAAGACGCATTTGTTCTTGCCTGCACGTTTTCATGCTGGGAGAAAGAAGAGCAGAAAATGTGAGAAAACTGACAAATTAAAAATCAAGAACCAGGAAGGGGAGTAATGTTTATTGTGTAATCTGGCTACGGTTATCAGTAGTATGATATATGATCTGAAAATTGTTATTTCATAATTATGTTAACATTATCCAAAGTAACTTAATGGAAATTGTTTCTCTGCATTCATTTTTTACTCAAAACCTCACCAGTGAATCATGAGGAGATGAACAACGTCGCCACACAGAAGGCATTGTGTTCCCCCCAAAGACCCCATGAGCTTGTCAAAAAAGAA